AACTGACTTTTCATGTGTGACTACACATATAAGAAAGATTGTCTCAGTACCACCTATAAAAACCTTAACTTATAGCAACAAAGCATCATGACTGGTACATTGCACTAAGTCAAACATTCAGGTCACCTCGGAGGTTTTCTCAAACCACTTTCTTTTAGGATAGCTAGGTTTCCCGTTTAAATGTGTAGATATAAAGGTTTGTAAATTAACACAACACTCGTCTACTGAACAACATGCTCAGAATATTTATTGCATATATATATGTGTGTATATACAGTGGACACTGATTGCAGTAGTAATATCTTGTGCAGTACAACACAACAGCTCTATTACATTATTCCCACGTTACAAAGAAAACATTGTTTATATTTGGTTAATTCATTCCAGTAAATCCCCACTGCAAACTACAACCTCAATAATTAACATAAAATTATTCATTTGCTGATTAGCAGACATTACAAGTGGGTTTTACAGGCAAACCTGATAAAGATGGAGTACTTTGCTGATGCATCAGTTACTGTGCGTTACAGTCAGGCACCAGTTACAACGGTGATGTTTGAATCTGCGGGGATGAACAACCAAGAGAATTAAATGTCAAAAAAGCGAGTGAACCTTAAAAATGTAACATTTGATTTACTTTTCAACAGTTTTCCCTTTAGTTTAGTTCAGTTTCAGTTTCATAAAAAAAAGATCATCATTCAAAGCTGGCACAAAATGTTGCATCTGGTGTAATTATTGATATTAAATAGATGTTTAAATTATGCTAACATTTTTCCTGTCTTATTATCACTTTGAACGAAGACTTGGAGTCCAATTCAGGTTGGTCCTTTCGAAGCGTGCCGACTGCAGTGATGAAATAAGATAAATAAATAAAAAGCTTAAATAATAATCATAACTCTTTGTAACAGTTTATAAATATCTTCTACAGATAATGTTTTAGATATAGACTTCTTTAATATTTTGTAGTTAAAAGTTTGTTGTGCTGAGACCTGTGATTAGTCTGACTGGGAGTTTATTTACCTTGAACATCTGTTGTCATGGTAATAAAGTTATCCCATGTGAAATAATATAAAACTAGTCAACATGAATAAAAGAAGTTAATAGAAATGCTTTGGTGGATTAAATGTTAATAATTT